TTTCCATAATTGTCGTTCGAATAATCGCTCGACTACTCTACGCCGCACGTTCGTATTTCCTCCGCTAATTGATATTGCGCTTTTTCTTTATCCAGTTTTTCGCCATTCAACGGGATTATTTTGAGCGCCGTGACGCCGAAAATCTGACGGAAGATGGAAGGGAAAGAAGGAAGAAGAAAAGCCCGTGCCACGTGGCAGTCTGGTGTCTCGAAAACAGGAACATTCCGGTGGTTTAATGCCGACAGTGTCGTCCATTCCTCGTGCGAGGGGATGGTCGGCGTTACTACCCCTGTCGTTCTTCTTTATTTTCTTTTTCTAAGGACGAGAGAGAGAGAGAGAGAGAGAGAGAGAAAGAAAGAAAGAGAGAAAGAGAGAGAGAGAGAGAGCGAAAAAGAAAGAAGGCGAGAGGAGGAGAAATTGAAGCGAGGAGGTAACCATTCTAGATAGCGAGTTCCACGCGGCGACGGAGGGGTTAGGGGGTAAAAGACGATGCCACAGGTTCGGGGAGAGGGAGATCTCGTGACTTTTATTGCTGCCGACCGTGTTAATCCCGAGCACCCATAAATTCATCCAGCGGGAATTGCTTCTTAACCTCACCGGCAGCGCACTGAGTTTCTCCTGTCGAAGTCTTAACTAACGTACGTGATCTCCTTTCTTCATTACCAAAGGGCTTTCTTGTACACGCCGCAATTTATACGTAAATATTGTAATAATGGAAAAAATATATCGGCAGATACGCACGACGGATGATTGCGCGGCGACATTCGCGCGTAATGTAAATTTCTTTGTCAAATTAAAGATTTACATAAATGACAAATACGAGATATTACGTATCGCGCGGCTGACTAGCCCGTAAAATTATTCGGGACGAAAAAGGAGGAGAGAAGACGCGAAAAAAAGAGAAGAAATAATCCGCGGCAATCCGGACGATGGCAATGAGAGGTCGACGGAAAAACCGAAGGGAAAAAGCAAACTTTTAATCAGTCTCCCTATTATCCTGGCATTCCGATTCTTCGAGGTTTCGGTCTTTCTCTTCCCCCGCCCTTTGTCTCGTCCCGTTGCTGGCGGTGGGGGTGGTGAACCCGCGAAATTACATCGTCGCTAATCCCTTCTGGTGGCATTAATTAGCTCTCGATTCCTACCACTATCGATCCCGCGACAACTCGGTAATTTCATTTTCGCTCGCGATGCGATTTGCAACTTGCAAACTGCGTTAATATGCGCGACATCCGAAACCCCGGATCAAAGGGCGGATTAATAGGCAGAGATACATCGAGGGCTTGACGCGCGTATCTATAATAGAATGGATTGCGTTGATGAAATCACGTTCGTTGAAATCGCGATTCCGGGCGGTGCAACGCCATCCGATTCGTATCCGGTTTCACAAAAATAAATTTTTATTTTTTCCGCTGACGACGAAATAGCGTAGAATTACTGTAAAATATTATATATTTTGTTTTTATTTAATTGAGGTAAGCTTCCGTGTTTAATGTTTCCATTTTATCGACTAAATGTACAAAATATCTTTGAAAAAGCACCATCAAGCCTTGTATTACTCGGCGAAATATTCAGCAAGATGTTATTGCTCAAATATTGCTACGCAAGATATGCAAAGTCACAGCAGAGAATTTCTTCGATGCTGTTGTAAGCAGAGCTTACACGACGACGACGACGACGAGAAAGAAGTTCGGTTTAATCTGGCTTTCCGTGGGTCTCGCCGCTTCCCTTTCCGGCAGCCTCGTCAGGACCGTTTGAAATTCACGGTGTCGCGGATTTTCGAGAGAAACCTGAGCACAACGCGCCTCCTCGATTCCACGACGGGATTTTTGCGGAAAGCCTCGGGGCGAAACCGTTGTGCGGAAAGAGTGCAGTCTCGTCGCTCGCATGCATCTACGGACACGGGCGAGCGCACGAGCCCGGCTGCGCTGTTATGCGGTGCAATTTGCATGGCCGTCTCTGTTTTGAAGCCCGCCGGTGGTTTTCGTCGTTTATAGTTTCCATGCGACCGCGAAAACCCGACCCACATTTCCCGCTGTCCAATCGACAGCCGGAGGGGAGAAAAGTTATTTCTGCCAAATGGAGATTTGCCCTATTAAAGGTTTTTTTTCCAAACTGTTAAACTTCAACGATGTAAATAAGAAGATAGCTTTTGCTTTGGCTATTTCAAAGTAAATGTCAATTCCGGACTTCATTATTTAAAAAGTAACTGTTCTTACAACTTCTTGCAAGTAAAAAATTCAGACGCCCATTCTACAAAATTCATTATTAAACTGTGAGCTACGAACTAAGAGCCAGATCAAAGTGGAACGACGCTACTTAAGTATTGTTGCAAAAACGGAGATCGACGAGAGAACAAGAGATCGCCGAATCGAATCCCTTGTTTCCAGTTCTCGGAAAAAGAGAGAAAGAAAGAGAGAGTAAAGAATTAGCTGCAAATCAAAACGGTGCCGGAAACACGTGTCCCAACGCAGCTTAAAGCGGGAAACGAGGTCTTTCCTTTGAATGCGCTTAATTGCAAGAACAGTTTCGTTAACGGCGCGAGCGGGTCGGGCAGTCTGACGAGAAGCACGGAAATGATTAACGACAAAAGGAGACCCCGTCGGATCTCCGGAAACGGACTGGAGGGCGTACGGGAAAAAGGACTGAATCTCGAATCCGACGAAACGGCCAGAAGCCGGTAATTACCCGATAAAATTCTTCCGCGCGACTAAGAAAGGAAGATTCACCCTCGTTATACTCGTTATCGCTAAACGACCCGCTTGTCCTTATAGCGCCTTATAAATCAAATCTTTATAATCCTTCCAATCTTGCATTTAACTATGCTCTAACAGCGGTTTGCTAAGAGTTGTTATAGAGTCTACAGTCGATTTTCATATTCCTCAAAGCTGAAATCGAGCCTACAGCTATTTCTCTTTTCCAAAAGATTTCTCATCATTTTCTCCGAGGACGAATTATATAATTTTTTCAATCATACTTAATTAACTTTGAAACCGTGTGAGCTTTTCGAGCGCGGTATAGCTCGTCGGAATCCAGGTTCGGTCGGTTGGGGGTGTGTCAAAGAAAATGCGTTTAATTAATGGTAAATTAGAAGACGTGTTTATTTAATTTAGTATGTTTGATGACTGTGTGTGTACATGCGATGCGAAAGAATTATTAAGCAACGGCTGAATAATTATTTGAGCTAGGTAAAATACATATGAAAGGATATATCGGTGAAATCAGTAACAGAATATCGGTAAAATAATTATTTGGCAATGGCGAAATAAATCTTGAGGCGGCGTGGAATAAATATAAAGCAGCGTGAACGTAAGCGAAGTATCGGCGGTAGCAGAATAATTATCTGAACAACGGTGAAATAATTATTTTAAAGCGGCGCAAAATAAAAGCGAAAGCAACGTGAAAATAAATGTGAAATATTGGCAATAATGAGATAATTATTTGAGCGGCGGCGAAATAACTATTTAGTGTGACGTGAGGCGTCTTGGTGCGGTCGGTGAGAGCGCAAGCGCGGGCGATCGTGTCGCAACGGTTGGTACGATACGGAGCGCTGGTCGGTGAGTGCGTTCGTAGTATCGCGAGTCTGTTCGATCGTAGATCGATGCGGACTATTCGGCGGCGCGGATTGGTCGACGTGGTTTTGCTTGCCGGACGGATTACGATTTTGAAATCCCGGCGAATAAACGCGGTATCAGGACTTAGGTTGCCGATTACGCTCGGCGGGAGTACGAGGATGCTCGTACAAAGGCGGAATCTTAGAACGGCGACTTAGCTTGGTATGCGGAAATGCCCGCAATACGAAGTTCGGTGGCCTAGAGGAGCCAAGTACGCTCGGCGGGTATACGAATAGATTCGTATGCGGGAATCAAGAATACCGAGGACGCTCGGCGGTACATGAGGATACTCGTGTGCTGGCACAGGTATACGAAAAACCGAGTATGCTCGGTTGAGGACTACGAGGACACTCGTAGAGGGATGTTCGCTGTCTATCAGCGAACAGAGTCTGGTGAGAAGACGTACAGCCGGGCGTCTTTTATACCCGGCTGGCAGCCGAACGGATTTGAATCGGCAAGCATCGGCGGTTTCGGCGGCGAGTCCCCCACAAAACGGAATTTCGGAACGGTCGGGTGTGGGGAATTTTCGGCGATTGACCGCCGCTGTTTTTGACAAAAAGCTTATCGGCGCTCGATGCGCCCTTGGTGGGCTACGGACGATGGACGGTCCGTAGCCGTAACGATTGTATCGTCCTTTCAGTGAAGGTATCACTAACACCTACACTGTCTTTTCGTTTGTATATAGTTTATTTGTTCTTGTTTCATATATTTTTACAAACAATCACGTACGGAAAAGATTTCGATTATGAGGACTCGAAAGTCCTATATTACCCACGACAACGCCTGAGGAACCTTTCGTCCTGAGTCAAATTGGGCGACCGCGACAACGCCTGAGGAACTTTTCGTCCTGAGTCGCGGCCGAGAACGCATACGTATCGTCTGGTCGAAACGATCGCGATGACGCCTAGGAATGTTTTTATTCTGAATCGCGACTGTCTATGCACACGTACTGTAACTGAAAACCTTTTATAGAAAAATGCGTCTATACCGTTCGGAAACCAAGACTCGAATGAATATCTCGGTCGATCTCTGAGCTGCCATGATCGAGATGATTTATGATTGGTCTCCTCGATCTCATGAAACCGCGCGTCCAATCACGCAAAAGAATAACATAGTTTTCGGCACACTCTATAGCGTGCATGTACGTGTGCATGCGTCGACTTCGCTCGACCATATATATATATTTTTATGTGTATATTATATATATGTGTGTGTGTGTGTGTGTGTCGTGCACGACTTGTAACTCTACATAACATACTCCCCCCGTTGGGAGGGTACCGAACAACTATTGTTCATGGAGTTACTGAACGCATAATTACGCATCGTGTTACAATGTACAACGCATCTTATAATAAAGTGTACAATTGTATTATAACATGTATCGCATGATCATTGCTCTACTGGCAATGGACATAGAGACTTCGCAGCTCTTTTTATTTCGCCGAATGCAGTCTTGATGATAGCGGTTCGAATTACTCCGTCTTCATCTGGAATTACTTTCTCAATTCTGCCCAGCGTCCACTGCGTGCATGGTGAATTTTTTTCCTTTACGAGCACGACGGTACCATTAGTTAATTTCGGTCCGTCTTTAGTCCATTTATTTCGTACTTGTAGCTCGTTCAGGTACTCAAGATTCCAGCGTTTCCAGAAGTCTTGTCGTACCTTTGATATATGCTGCCAATTAGACAGCCGGTTGTCTGGAACAGATGACATATCTACCTCTGGTAGTGTTGTTATTGGTTTGCCGATCAAAAAATGTGCAGGAGACAATACTAACATGTCGTTAGGGTCAGATGAAATAGCAGTAATTGGCCTAGAATTTAAGATACCCTCGACTTCGGTAGTAAACGTGTTCAATTCTTCAAATGTAAATAAAGAGTCTCCAATAACTCGTTTAAGATGGTGTTTGAATAGCTTTACCGAAGACTCCCATAGTCCGCCGAAATGGGGGGCTAAAGGTGGTATAAAATGCCACGTAATTCTATGCTCGCTTGAATATTTGTTAATCCGTTCTTTGTGATCCTCTGAATTAAGCAGAACATATATTTCCTTCAACTGGTTATTAGCTCCTACAAAATTGGATCCGTTGTCTGAATAAATATGTTCCGGTAAACCCCGTCTCGCAGTAAATCTACGCAACGCCGCTAAAAAGCCTCCGGATGATAAGTCGCTTACGACTTCGATGTGTATTGCCTTTATCGACATACATATAAAAACGCATACGTATACTTTAATTCGCGTTCGATTGCGGTATTTCCTTTCCTTGATAAAAAACGGGCCGCAAAAATCTATGCCTGTGTTAGTAAATGGTGGAGTTCCGCGTACGCGCGCCACTGGAAGATTTCCCATTTTATATTTAACCGTGTTAGGATTGAATCGGAAACAGCGCACGCATATGCGTACAACCTTTCTCACCTGATTTCGACCATCTAATATCCAAAATTTCTGACGTAATATGTATAACGTGGTTTGGATACCTGCGTGATAATGCCTTTCATGAATCTTGCGAATTATATTGTCTGTCAAAGAATGCCGATTTGGAAGTAGTATCGGATGTTTTTGACCGAACGACAGCTCTGACTTTTGTAATCGGCCTCCCACGCGTATTAAGCCATTTTCGTCTAAAAACGGATTTAAATTTGCCAATCTACCTTTATTTATCGAGACCTTATCTGCTAATTTCTTTATTTCGTCATAAAATCGTGTGTTTTGAAGAATCTTTAATACTCGTATCTCCGCTCTATTTATTTCTTCCGCGATCAACGATCCAGTATATTTGTTTGTGGGTAAAACGCGAAGACAATACGCCACGATTCTTAATAATTTCAAATAAGACGAGTATTTATTTAGAATTGTGGAACCACCGTCGTTAGTTATCAAACAAATGTTTTTCTTTAATTCGGGTATCTCACTCATTTGTGCAATTTCGTTGGGCCATTTAACTTCCTCATCCTTTAACCAGAAAGGTCCCGTATACCACGTCTGATTTCTCAGGAAAACACGAAGCAATTGACCTCTCGAATTGCATCCGCTGGATTATCCTCTGACTTAACGTGTCTCCACTCTATCAGATCGGTAATTTCTCGTATGTTCACTACACGATTTGCTACGTAAGTTTTAAGTAAATGTGGAGACGTTTTTAACCAGTGTAACACAATTGTCGAATCACACCAAAATATCACTCGATCGGGTACAATGCCTTACGCTTCGTTTACTTCCTTATATAGACGTGCTAGCAATAATGCTCCACAAAGCTCGAGTCGCGGTATGGTAACCGTTTTTAATGGCGCAACTCGTGATTTAGCGCATAATAATCTGACAATCGTATTTCCGGAATGTCTGTTCGAACGGACGTATATACACGCACCATAACCCACATTACTAGCGTCGCAAAAACCGTGCAATTGAATATCATTGTGTTTTTCGGTAAATATTTTTCTTTCAAAGGAGATCCGCTCCATCGACACCCATTGTCTCGTGAATTCTAACCATTCCGTGTATATATTTTGCGGAACTGATTCGTCCCAATGCAAACCACACCGCCACACGTCTTGCATTAATTTTTTAACATATAGAATGACCGGACCTAACAAACCTAATGGGTCGTAAATCTTTGCTATTTCTGATAAAATGTTCCGTTTTGTCACTCGCTCAGTTGTATTAATCGGATGAGTCATATAATGTAATTTGTCATCATGTGTGCTCCACTTTACGCCTAATGTTTTTAGAGTATGATTACCGTTTAACGCGAAGTTTGCATGTAATGCTTTGGACTCTAGATCATTGATTACACGTTCATCATTAGATGCCCATTGTCTGATAGTAAAACCACCTCTGGATAATAATGCAATTATTTCTTCCCTTATCTCGCGAACTTCCTCGATTGTCTCAGCTCCCGTCAATAAATCATCTACGTATAGATGTTTTTTAAGTATTTCGGCCGCTCTAGGATAAGTGTCGCATTCGTCATCTGCGAGTTTTTGCACAGTGCGGATTGCAAGAAATGGTGAAGAAGAAACACCAAAAGCGAGCGTGTTGATTTGATAACTCTCTATTACGTCATTTCTACGCCAGAGAATACGTTGATACCGTCGGTCATCCTCATGTAACCACACCTGCCGGAACATCTTTTCGATGTCTGCTGTAATTACGTATCTGTATGTGCGGAATCGAAGTAAATGTGATACTAAATTATTTTGAATAGTAGGACCTGCAAACAACATTTCATTGAGAGATGTTCCGTTATTTGTTTTAGCTGACGCGTCAAAAACTACTCGCACTTTAGTGGTATTACTCGTCTCTTTAAGTACCGCGTGATGTGGCATATAATAACCGGTATCATTTGTATCCTCTATCCGAGACATATGTCTCAATTTCAAATATTCTTCTAACACTTTATGATAATCCGTCTTCATTTTCGTATTCGCGTTAAGCTTTTTCTCTAAAGATGTTAATCGTTTAAGCGCGATCGTTCGCGATTCTCCTAAACGATGATTTGTATTGCGAAATGGTAAACGAACGGTGTAACGTCCACTACTGTCTCGAGAAACCGTTTTCATAAAATGCGCTTCGCATTCGATTTCCTCCTCCGATTTTGGCTTAACAACCGCAACCTCCTCAATTGTCCAAAATTTAAGTAATAAATCTTCCAGTGACGTTAAATGACATGTCGCGAATTTTGTTTGTGGTTTTGATGACGCTCCTCCAGCAACCACCCAACCCAATCGCGTTTTTTGTATATATATATCTTGTCCCTTATGTGATACATTGGTCTGACCGACTGCAAATAATGATAATGTCGCACCCGAACCTATTAATAAGTCAACGGAACGTGGTAAATAAAAATCTGGATCTGCTAATCTGATATTAGAAGGTATTTTTATAGAATTGCGCGGGAAAATCTCTGTTGGTATTAAATCCGCTATGGTCGGTATCGTTAAACACGTTAGTTCTTTACAGAAATCGTCGTGTATTGATTGTATGGTGATCTGCACTATGCCTTTCGATACGGTGTTCATACCGTTAATAGCACCGATCGGTAACAAATGTTCGGATACATGAAAGTTTAAATGCTTTATGATGGATTCGGAAATAAAATTTGCGGTAGCACACGTGTCTAATAACGCACGGCATTTAACCAGCTTGCCTTTACAATCACGAATATTTACTAATGCGCTTGTCAACAGCTGTGGTGCGAAAGTATGTAACGTCGCTACACTATTTGTTCTGTTACCGATCGGTTCTGCTAGTCAATTTGTTTGTTTAGGCTCGGGTCTAGTTTCACTGGATTTACCGACTTTCTCATAATTGTCTTGGTGTATAAGCGTATTGTGTCGCTTTTGGCAAATGGTGCAACTAGAGAACTTGCAAGGACTACCTCTATGCGATCGTAAACAATTATAACAGATGTTTGCGTTTTTTACTGTTTCGACACGTTTATGTACGGGTAATTGTTTAAATTTCTCGCATAAATAGAGTGGATGTTTTTTAACCTTACATATCACGCAATTACGAGACACGTTTAAAACGAACGCTTGATTTGAAGAGCAATATCGTTTTCTCTTGCTAGGTGGTTCTATCTTATTTTTCTCTATCTCCGTCGTTTTTGCTCTTTCGCGTTTCGACGCGCAAACGGTTGTTTTATACAAAAACTCGTACATTTGATCCGGTTTTGGAAATTCATCTCTTTCGAGAGTCGTCTCCCATTTCTCTAAAGTAATCTTGGGTAATTTGCTTTCCAAGATATGAACGATCATTTCCGGTCCTACAGCAACGCCTAGCGTGCTTAACGCCGCGACGTGTTGTTGTGTATCGTCCGCGAGCTTAGACAAACCGTTCGAACTTTCTTTTTCTAACACAGGCATATTTAAAATTAATGAAAGATGTCTTGAAATCAATACGCGTTTTACTTCATACGAACGCTCTAGAATATCCCAAGCATTTGAATAATTTATCCCGTCGATCTCAAAAATTCGTGCCTTGTTGGCAGCTTCCCCTATTAACGCCGATTTTAAATAATGTAGTTTGTCTATGTCTGACAAGTCTATTTGCGAGCCTATCATATTATGAAATGCATTTTTAAATGATAACCAACACTCATATTTACCATCAAAGGTCGGTAAAGCCGCCTCTGGTAATTTGATTCGTCTTTTTCTACTCGACGTCGTTATCTCTACATTATCGGCCCTATTTACGACGCTTTGCCTATCGGAATCCGCTTCCGACGCACTTAAGTTACTCTCGACTCTTGCAGCTAAGGAATAAAAACGTTCTTGTATGTTTATGAACTCAGTTTGATGTATCTCGTTTGAATCTAATACCGTAAGTTCATCGTTATATTCTTCGAACGCGTGATATAATTCTGTTAAACGCTTTATTCGTAATCTTAATGCGACGTCATCCGTATTACCTTTGTCGAGGATATTACTTAAACCAGTGATTTGGGACTTTAAAGACGTCCGTTTTTGTACAAGAATCTTAATTCTGTCTGCCATTATTATGTAATTGTGACCAAATTGTTAGATTCAGATTACTTAACTTAATCCGATGTACGTTGTTTTCCTCTTTATCTCGAGCTCTCGCTATCGCAAACCAGGGCCGTTCACCGACCTCACAGGAGGCACCAAAATGTATCGTCCTTTCAGTGAAGGTATCACTAACACCTACACTGTCTTTTCGTTTGTATATAGTTTATTTGTTCTTGTTTCATATATTTTTACAAACAATCACGTACGGAAAAGATTTCGATTATGAGGACTCGAAAGTCCTATATTACCCACGACAACGCCTGAGGAACTTTTCGTCCTGAGTCAAATTGGGCGACCGCGACAACGCCTGAGGAACTTTTCGTCCTGAGTCGCGGCCGAGAACGCATACGTATCGTCTGGTCGAAACGATCGCGATGACGCCTAGGAATGTTTTTTATTCTGAATCGCGACTGTCTATGCACACGTACTGTAACTGAAAACCTTTTATAGAAAAATGCGTCTATACCGTTCGGAAACCAAGACTTGAATGAATATCTCGGTCGATCTCTGAGCTGCCATGATCGAGATGATTTATGATTGGTCTCCTCGATCTCATGAAACCGCGCGTCCAATCACGCGAAAGAATAACATAGTTTTCGGCACACTCTATAGCGTGCATGTACGTGTGCATGCGTCGACTTCGCTCGACCATAATATATATATATTTTTA